CCCAAATGGTGGTGAGAGTTCTCTTATTTATAATCATTTACAGAATACAAAAATAAGGTAAATTACAAATAATAAGGAAATAGCGATAAAAGGAAAGAATAATAAATGAATACAATATATTTGCATTTAGTAAAAGGGAAAATATGGTAACCCGTAATGTAAGGCAAATATCTAGATATTTGCCTTAATGAACGGTCAACTATCCTTAACACCAACAAATAGAAAATTAAACGAAAAGACACAAAGATTTACATGGTTCAATAAGAAGAAATTCTCTTACATCCATTAGTGGTAGCTAATCACTATAACCACAGTATTTACTTGTGTAGCACTAGCATACAAAATGATAATGACTTCACATCTCACAACAATGTTATGCTTTTATATAGACTTAACAATACTCATTCTCATACATGGACTAAATAAATGAAAATATGAACTAGAAGGGTTATTAACTGAATTAATAACCAAAATAAATGAGATATGAACAATCGAGGATTATGAACTAAATGAGAGTTATGATAATACATTTTCATGACAACTTACAACAAATCTTGATTCTAATTGATGGTGCGGAGTGTTCGTTGATGGCTGATCATCAAAACAGAGGAGGAGGAGGCTCCGATCTCTGCAGAATTTCTCCTTTCACTTGCATCATGCTACTCCACCTCATTGACTTAATCTTCGATTTTATGCTTTTAAAGGTAACCAGATGAAAATTAATTTTAAATAATTGAAAACATGTTTTAGAATGATTTTAAAAAAGTCGTTAAACCATAGTATTTTGAACATTTCTCATGTGCCCGCAAAAGAACACGAATACAGAAAGATATATAAGATTAAAAACTTAAGTTCAAAATAGAGAATTTACCGCTACATTGTTCGAAAGACGTCTAAATCTTTATAGAATATATGGATTTTGATTTTACAACGAGATATAGTATTAGAATCGATATTATTTTTAATTTCATAAATTTGGAACTATGTGATGTTTTTTTTTTTTTTTTTTGCTTTTTTTTCTACATTTTATTAATTTTTACAAATATCATATAAAAATTTATTTATTTTGATAAAAATGAAGTTTTATATAAGGCAAGAAAAATGGATCCAAAGCATGCTATATATGACATTATTAAAGACATGAGAATATTGTTTAAATTAATATTTAAAAAAAAACTAATAAATATTGCAACGATTATTTACGTAAAGATTATAATGTTTATCTCGAAAATAAGATTTTATGATAAAAATTTGTTACACCATTTTCAAATTTAAATAAAAATTGAAAATTTCCCAAAAAGAATGAATTTCGCTTAATATTTATTTATCCGAAATTTGTAAGCCATTTTCTTTTCAAATGAAGACGACGGCGAAGAATTTTGGAAACAATTTCAGAAACGGAGAAGTGGAGAACGAACATAGAGAGAAGAGAGACTCGTCCAAATCTTCACATCAGGTTCTTTACCAGATTCATCGCACCTGATCCATTATCCTTGTTACCACATGCCGCCGACCTTCGCTTTCTCTCGAGGAGATCCGATTGCTGGTACGTTACCGCGATTCTTCTTATATTCGGATTTTGTAGAAATTTTTTGTGTCTGAGATGTTGAAATGAAGTTGAAATTTATGATTTCGAGCTTAAATAGCATTCCAGGAAGATCAAACACACTTAGCCGATCTTTAGAATCTTCAGGTCCATAATCAGTTTCGAGTTTTCTGCGCGTGTAATTTTCTTTTCTGTGATTAGGCGTTGTGTTATTTTGTTGATTTTCTGTGTCAATTTTGTTTTTCAATACAGAAATTGGTCTTGGATAAACGCTATCGCTTGATGTATATAATGTTTGGTATTACCTTGTGAAATACGTAGGTGCAGTTCTGTATATAATGCTGTATTTTCCAAGTGCAGAGGCCGCTTTAGTCTGTGTAAATTGTGAGGATTGTTAGCGATAGAATGCAAATTAGCCTATGACATCTCATTTCGAGGCTACTATTTTTCAAAGTTTAGATATCTCCTTGTTAAATGGTTAGAAACTTTGAAGTTCATGCGGATTGTCAAACTTGTAAAGGGATGCAATGAGTGGAAGAAGTACACAAAATCACAGTGGGGAAGTGTGAATGTTTGCTGAATCCACCACACTTATATGGTGGTGAGAATTCTCTTATTTATAATCATTTACAGAATACAGAAATATGGTAAATTACAAATAACATGGAAATAGCGATAAAAGGAAAGAATAATGAATGAATACATTATATTTGCCTTTAATAAAGGGCTAACCCGTAATGTAAGGCAAATATCTAGATATTTGCCTTATAATAAACGGTCAACTATCCTTAACACCCCCCGCAAGCTGAGCGTTGGATTTGAACGAACGTGAAGCTTGGATCTGAAAAATTCATAGAGAGGTCGAGAAATACTCTTTGTGAAGATGTCAGCAACTTGAAGATGAGAGGGTACATATTGTGTGCGAAGTTTGCCAGCGATAACAAGTTCTCAAAGGAAATGATAATCTGCTTGTGAGAAACAGGGTTAGAGCTAAAAAAAAATAGCACTTTTGTTGTCACATAAGAGTAAGGGCTGCTGTGAAATAGGGACCTTGAGGTCATGCAAAAGATGCGTAACCCAAAGAAGTTCAGCAGCAGTTGTGGCAAGAGCACGATACTCAGATTCACAGCTGGAGCGTGAGACAGTAGGTTGCTTTTTGGCACTCCAAGAAACAAGATTGTTACCAAGATAAATAGAATAGTCGGATGTAGAACGACGAGTATCGGGACAACCAGCCCAGTCAGCATCCGAATAAGCGACTAGCGTACTAGGAATAGTGGATGGACGAAAGATAAGACCAAAGTGGAGTGTTCCTTTGACATAGCGAAGAATACGTTTGACAGTAAGAAAGTGATCTACAGTAGGGGCATGCAAGAATTGACTGACAGAATTGACAGCATAGGCAATATCTGGACGCGTAATAGTCAAGTACTGAAGGGCGCCAACAAGAGATCTGTAGAGAGTAGGATCAGAGAAAGGAGAACCATCAGCAGTCAGGTGTTGAGAAACAACCATGCGAGTGTGAACTGGTTTGCTATCGAGCAACTGAGCACGAGTAAGAATATCTCGAGCATATTTTAACTGACTAATAAAGAGACCATCAGGAGTGTGGGTGAAGCTTCAAGATCAAGAAAGTAACTGAGAGAACCCAAATCTTTGGTAGCAAACTCAGAATGAAGCTTGCGAGTCAAGCTGTCAATAAGAGATGAGTTGTTGCCGGTAACAATAATGTCATCAACATAAAGAAGCAAATAGATAAGGTTAGATTGCTGATGAAATACAAAAAGGTACGTGTCAACGCGACTGCAAGAAAACCTAAGTGTGAGAAGAAATAAGCTAAAACGCTGAAACCAAGCACGAGGAGCTTGCTTTAAGCCATAGAGGGTTTTCTTTAATAGACAAACATGAGTGGGAAATCGAGGATCAATATACCCAGGATGTTGTTCCATATGAACACGTTCAATAAGAGTTCCATTGAGAAAAGCATTATTGACATCAAGTTGTTGAAGAGACCATTTATTTGTGACTGCAATAGAAAGCACAACACGGACAGTGGTAGCTTTGACAGCCGGACTGAAAGTGTCAGTGTAGTCAAGACCAGGAACCTGAGTATAACCTTTGGCAACAAGACGAGCCTTGAAATGCTCAACGGATCCATCAGACAAATATTTAATACGAAACACCCATTTAGAGCCCACGATGTTGGTGTTGGCAGGGCGAGGAACCAAAGTCCAAGTATCATTTTGTTGTAACGCTCGAATTTCTTCATCCATGGTAGCCACCCAAGCAGGATTCTTAGCTGCAGATTTGAATTCTTTTGGCTCAGTGGATGCAAGAAAAGTAGAAAGAAGTTCAGATGAGCCCAAAATACCAAGATTTGCTGGATGACGAGTCTTGAATATACCAGCTTTGGCTCGTGTGATCATAGGATGAGTGCTCAAAGAAGAGAAATCAACAGGAGGTTCAATAGAGGTCGAATTAGAAGTCGAGGGTGGCAAAGTGAAACCTGCAAGAGAAGTATCAACCTGCACAGACTCATCTACAAGGTCAGAACAAATATCACATGGGGATGAACTGGATCGAGGAATGTGTAGTGATGAAGTGGTAGGGGGGGATGAATCAATATGATGAAGATGTGGTTCCAAGAAATTTGAAATAGGAATAGATGAAAGAGGTTGGGCTTGGGAGCTAGGGATAGCAGGAAAGTGAGTTTCATCAAATTGAGCATGGCAGGTGATATATAGCTTAGTGGTGGTGGGATCAAGACAACGAAATCCTTTATGAGCAGAACTATTACCTAAAAAAATACAAGAAATGCTGCGGGGAGAAACTTGTTAGGCATATAATCACGCAAATAAGGATAAACACGACAACCAAAGGGATGAAAATTGTCATAATGTGGAGTGTAGCCATAAAGGAGTTCAAAGGGTGACTTACCTCTAAGAAGTGGAGTAGGCAACCGGTTGATAATATAAGTTGTAGTGCTGAAGGCGTCAACCCAAAAACGAGGAGAAAGATGAGAGTGAAAGAGAAGGGTCAAGCCAGTCTCAGTCACATGACGATGTTTTCTCTCAGCACGACCATTTTGAGCAGGTGTATATGGACAAGAGGGTTGATGGTGGATGCCAGAATTACGTAAATGAGTTTTGAAACAAGTACTAGTAAATTCGGTACCACCATCGCTTTGAAATACCTTGATACGAGAAGAATATTGATTTTTCACAAATTTTTGAAATTGAAGAAAAATATCAAAAAAATCAGATTTAAATTTTAAATTTGAATCGAGAATAATCATCAATAAAAATAGCATAATAAAGAAAACCCGAATTTGATTTGACGGGAGAAGGACCCCAAAGATCACAATGAATAAGATCTAACACATGAGACGACCTACGTTCATTGCGGGAATAAGGCAATCGATGACTTTTCGCAAACTAACAAGTATTACATAATGATGGAGAAGGCAATAAAGACGTAAGAGAAAGATGACATTTTCTATTTAAAAAAGAAATAACAGAATGATTCACATGACCCAGAGGAGCATGCCATAAATCATATGAAGCACGTAAAGATTTGTTTTTAAGGGCTGAAATAAAAGCAGAGTTGCCGCGCTCCAGCACATATAGCCCTCCATCTCTTTTACCGGTTGCCACCACCCTTCTTGTTTGACGATTCTGGATAGTAATAAGATTATTAGTAAATATAACGGAGAGAGGAAAATCAGACGTTAATTTACTTATGGAAAGAAGATTTTTAGTGAGGTGAGGGACAACCAAGACATCTAATAAGTGAATATTTGGAACAAGAGAAAGAGTGCCGGTGTGGGTAATGGGTAGGGATGCACCGCTTTCTACGATCACAGAGTCCTTACCCGTGTAATTTTTAGACTGATCCAGAATAGATGGGTTGACAGTCATATGGGCCGAAGCTCCAGTGTCCAGAAACCAATTAGCAGCATCAGGTCCAACAATAGAACATGACGTGTTAAAGGCTTCAGCTAGGTGAGCATGAGAAGAATCAGGTCGAACATACCGTTGGTTGCAGCGGTCAGCATAATGGCTCTCTTTGCGGCATATTTGGCAGTGAGGTGGTCGACGACCCTGACTTGAGTGGGTTTGTTCTCGATTAGAAGAGTTGTCTTTGTGAGAATAAGAACGACCTCGCTGGTTGGTAAAGGAAGCAGGGTGGCTTCCATGGGTGCGACCACGATTAGTGGCTGTGAATGTTGTAGGAGTGGAGTCAGAGGACTCAAGGGAGCGTTGGAACAGCTCAAAACTTTTAACTTTAGAGACTAAATCTACAAAGCAGGGGATAGGGGTGAGAGCCATCTGAGCAGTAGTAAAAGCTGAAAAATTCGGTGCTGAGTCCACGAAGGAACCAGTGCACTTTATCAATGTCCTCGACGGGTCTGCCAATGGCATGAAGTTGGTCACAAATTTTTTTTGAAGGCACGGGCATACTCAGCAACAGGTTTGGTGCCACGTTTCATCAACTGCAAGTCATTCTTGAGTCTCAGTTCACGAGCTTTCGACTGATGGCTGAACGTAGTTTCCAACGCAAGCCAAACATCACATGCAGTAGAGAGACCAACGACAACAGCCATGGCTTCCTCAATGAGAGAGGAGAGCAGGAGACAGAGAAGTCGTTGATCGGCTGCTCTCCATGCCAAATATTTGGGGTTGAGTGTTGAGGAGGTTTCTGGTTCAAAACGAGGTGGTGGAACCATAGTTCTATCGACATAGCCCAGCATGTCTTGACTCTCAAGGAGAGGGAGAAGTTGGCTTTTCCAGAGAAGATAATTGGAGGAAGAAAGTTTGATAGTGATCATATGGATTAGAGTATTGAAAGGAAGAAGATGATAAGAAGATTCGGAAGCCATAGAGAAGAAAGGATTAGGGTTGTTAAACCGAAAGGGCTCTGATTCCATGTGAATGTTTGCTGAATCCACCACACCTAAATGGTGGTGAGAGTTCTCTTATTTATAATCATTTACATAGAAATATGGTAAATTACAAATAATATGGAAATAGCGATAAAAGGAAAGAATAATAAATGAATACAATATATTTGCCTTTAATAAAAGGGCAAATATGGTAACCGTAATGTAAGGCAAATATCTAGATATTTTCCTTATAATGAACGGTCAACTATCCTTAACAGGAAGACTGAAGAAGTGAGGAACTGGGGAATCCTAAATGGTCTTTAGGTTTGATACTAAAGAATTTGTTCACAACAAAATCAAAATGTTAATTATTTAGTGTGTAAAGGATTTGTTGTGTGGTAATATACCACTTGTACCTTTAATGCCACAACAAAAACGTTATGATACCTAATGTAGTAGAGACGGGAGCAAGATTGATTACACTCACACACCCATAAATAGAAATTAAACAAAGAGACACAAAACTTACGTGGTTCGAAGAGAAGAAATTCCCCTACATTCAGGGGCGGTAGCTAATCACTATAACTAAAGTGTTTACAAGTGTATCTCTCACACTTTCACACTCTCACACTACAAAGTCTCTCTTACAAAATTCCTCCCAATTGCCTCTAGACAAATACAAAATGACAACCTCCACCCCTCCAAACATTGCTGAACAAGTCTTTATATAGATATAGCAATACTAATTCTCATACATGAACCAAATAAATGAGAAAATAAACCAAAAAGGTTATGAACTAAATGAGAGTTATGAACCAAAATAAATGAGAATATGAACCATCTCTGAACTAAAACCAGATTTAGAATCGTGGATGGAGATGTACTTTCATCCAATTGTTGGTAATGGATATTTGTTTTAGTGATGTTAGCCAAAACTGTAGAAGGTTAGGTTTTTGAGCATACAAAATTAGAATGTTAGCCTTATCTTTTGCCAAATTTCCTTCTTCATGCATAATCTGAGACTGGAAGTATATCTTGTTGTTTAAACTGGTATTTGAGTTAGGCTACTGCTGAACGTATATCTATGGTTCATGGATAAATTGGTGGTCTTATTGCAGGACAATATTGTGTATCCCATTAGGAAGTAGCTACATTGTTATATATAGTCTTGTTACGTTTTCTGTATAATTTATCTTGTTTCTTCGGATCAACAGCTTCAGTTGCTTATTGTCTATAAACTATGAAATAATCAGTGAGATGGTGAAAACGAAACAAAGACAGAATATTACTCTTAGTCATCTTTCTGGATCTTCAAACTTCATTGTTGGTTTGGATATGCACGGAGATGATAGTTGGGTGGTGGTAAAGAAGCAGATAGTCGCAATCCTAGTGCATTCTATGGCGATACTTCAAAACTCCCCAACCTCCAATGCTGGACAAAGTCAGCTGCAACCAATTGCCAAAGAAGTAACAAAATGCCAATCAGGAGCTCTTGAAAAGACATGTTTAGAAGTGTCCGCAGCTGTGCTGCCATCGGCTGCTAAAATGTTAAGCAGCAACGCCTGAAACCTTCCCCTGTTCATTGTAATTTGACATTGAAAGAACCATTGAAGCAAAGATATCAGGCCCCAAAATCAAGATAGAGCTTTCAATATCCAATTCGTGGGTATTTTCCAGAGAAAAGGTATCAATAAGTTTCAGCTGGTAAATCTAACCATGAAAAAGCTGGAAAGTATGGGTGCAAATGGGTGGGGCCTTGTAGAAAACTGATGCATGCAATTGATTGTGTCTATCAACCCTTCAGTTCTTGAACTTTTTTTTTTTTTTTTAGNGGGGGGGGGGGGGGGGGGGGACTTCTCAATACAATTTCTTTCAAATTCATTAAAATGGGGGGTGGTGGGGGTGTTATGGTATTTAACCGATGGTTTATTCATCTTGACGTATCTTGAATCAGATCTGGTTCAGAAAAATGAACCAAACCCAACTCGAAATGCAATATTGGTCCGAGTTGTCGGGTTGAATGTACACCCTAGTTAGTGGTACAAAGAGGAATGATATATTGACTTTTGTTCTAAATGTGTCTATTGAATCTTCGATGGCCAAAAGAGTATGGTTTTGGCCAAAAGAGTATGGTTTAGGCCAATCTCGTGGATTCGGATTTTCATTGTGAATAGAAGACAGAAAAAGAGGCAGAAAACTCTGTAAAGCTCCAATCGAAGAACACCTGTTACCATTTATTTATTTAACTAATTATCTGACAAACTTTCATGAATCACATGGAAGAACACTATGGATAGTTCATCAGGATAATTCAGTATGTGAAATTCAAAGAGAGTTTTGAAGCATAAAACGTTTGATAATAGCCAGGACTTGATCGCCCAGTTGAGTATCTTGAGAACTAGTGAAGAACCCATGTTGTTTGCCTTCAAACTCCACATACTCAATTCTGTGTCCCAATTGTGAGAGTGTTTTGGCATAGTGTTGGACTCTGTCTTTCAGCAATTCATTTTCACCAACCATCACCATGATCGGCTCCAAATTCATTCCTTCAAGGTTCTTGCTTAATGGCCCAAATGGGTTTGCCAATGGGTGGTCTCTATCTTCTCCCAAGGGTAATGATAGCCTCCAAAACCTGATCCATCAATTGTGAGATTCATTAAAGTGTTCATAAAAGACCTGTGTTGGAATCTTACTAATGTCATTCATCTACTTGAATTGACATCAATACTTGAAGGAGGACACCTTTTTAAATCAGTTATGAGTATCAGCAAGGATGCTGGTCTTAAAATGAGTGAATTATAAGATCCCACAAAGCATTTTTTATAAGGAGGTGGAAACTTGGCTAATAAACAAAGAGAAAGGCCAAAAAAGACATATCTGCTAGCGGTGGACTTTGATGGTTACACCTATTAACTTTTTTATTTTTTAAAAGACTTGAATTATTATAACATTTTAGATAACACGATAACAAACCAAATAAACTCAAAATTAAAATAAAAAATCTAAGACGTTGTTGAGAAATAATGTATATATATATAGTGGTATCCACAAATAAGTATAGGTTTGAGTGGTTGGGTTGTGACATCACTACGAAGGGAATGTGTGTATGAAGCATAGAGATCTGGTAAGAATCCATAAGTCGCTTTCTCCAACTTTTTTTATGAATTATGTGTGAGAGATTAAAGGAAAGAGTATTAAGAAAATGTAATTAGTTAGTGCATAATTAGGGTATGAGATTATTAAAGCTTCCACTATGCTTCTTTTATTTCATTGTTTAATCATTGTCTCCTCCATAATTTTGTTTAAACTATAATCAGTTGATTGTAACTCCACAACAAAAATAATAATAATAATAATAATAATAATTGAATGAACTTATCCATTAAACTTTTTATTTAAATAAATATAAATAAAGTGGCTAAATCCTAAGAGATTTCAGTAAAATATTAGAATTAAAACTTATTAATGTTTTTCCCCCCACAAAAGTCACTTTCTAAATGCATTATAAAGGAAGAAAAATATGGCTCCAAACATTAAATTTTTATTTTTTATTTGCTGACGAAGACCAAATTTAATTTAAAATATTGAACTCAATTTACACCAAATTTATTTTTCATCAATTCAAAATTTTGCTATTTTTATATTATTATAATTATAATTAGTTTAGTTTAGATATATATATATATATATATATATTGTGTGATTTGGATTTTAGCAATAAATCCAGGAAGTTGTGGTGTGATAATGGTGGGTCAAAAGTCAAAGGCATAGACTAGATCTCTCCTTTTACCTGGTGGAGATTTGAATATGACATTTCTAAGAAATTATTTTCTTAAATTCATAATTTTTTAATAAAATAAATACATAATATAAATAATAAGAGAGTGGTTAGGAGTGGACCATAGATTTCAACCTTTAACATTCAAAAGAGAAATATACTTTTTTTTTTATTTAAAAAAAAAGAAGAGAAAATTAATAATATTTTGTGGCTGACTAGGAAAAGAATAGTAGCCACGTGGAGTGGGTGATGAGGTGGAAATAGATGTTTGGGAAGATGATAGAAGATTAGGTTAGATTGAGAAGAAAAGAAAAGTCAAATATTTGGGTTTGACTTTTTCCCATCATCCATTTGCACTGCATGCCTTCTTTTCTTTCTTTTTCTTTTTTTCCAAAAACAAAATAACTAATTTATTAGAGAGATTAATATATATATTTTGCATGGTAGACTGAATTTTTAAAAGCCAAAATTGGGTAAGAAATTGATTAAAATATTCTGATTTTAAAAATTAAATTTTGTGGTATTTATGTGTTTTCATCTTTTTATTATTTTTTAAAAAATACTTCTGAAATTTTGTGATATTTATCTAGGGTTATTTTCGTCATTTGAATTGTGCAATTGATTTTAGATAAAATATTTAAACAATATAACTTCTAGTAATAATAATAAATAAATAAATAATTTAAAAATGACAGGAACGAGTTGTGCCAACATGACTACCAAGTTTAAATAATATAATGCAGTGATAATTTTCCCTAATAATTTTAAATTTAAAATATCAATTTTTTTTTTTTAAAAAAAGTTACTAAATTAAGATTTATTGAAGAAAAAAATGCACAATTATTAATATTATAAATAAATAAATAAATAAAAGGGAATCTTATTGTTAGAGAGAGAGGAGGACGTGTACCTGTCAAGCGCGTCCAAATTCAGAAAATCTTCCGGCGGACCCTCCTCTGATTTCGTCCTCACCACTCCGCCGAAGAACGGCGCCATTAAAACAAATCCTCTCACTCTCACTCCAAATCTCCCACCATCACTCCCAAACCCTACTGCCAAATGATGCGCAATGTTCCCTCCCGACGAGTCTCCCATCACAAATACCCTCTCCAAATCCGCTCCTTCTTCAATCCACGCGTCTTCCCCCTTTTTCACCCACTCGATCGCTTTTTCTCCGTCTTCCACCGCCGCAGGAAGCCGATTTTCTGGCGCTAGACGATAGTCCGGTACGATTACAAGAGCTTCCAACCCTAGGGCAAGCCGAACGCAGCAATTGTGCGGATTCGCCCAGGATCGGGAACCGACGCAGAAACCGCCGCCGTGGAGGAAGAACAGGACTGGAAGTTTAGTGTTGGAATTTAAGGATACTGCTGGTTTTATGAGGCGGAGGTGGAGACCGTGAACAGCGTCGTAGAGAACGTCGCGGAAGACGACGGAGCTATCGTCGGCGATTGGAAACGGGAAGCGGATGTCATCGGAGCGGAAGACGGTGCCGTCGCTGTAGAGTTGGAGCACGCCCATGCAATCTTCGACAATGTAAGGAAGGGAACCCATGTGTGTATATATATATATATATATTTTTCTTTTTTCTTTTTTCTTTATTTTAATTATGGTGGAAATGGAGGGAAGGGGCAAGAGGCTTTTTATACAGAGGCGAAGGGAGGGTAGAATGGTAATTTCACAGGGAAGTGGTGGTGGATGAGTAAATTGACGTTTTAAAAAAAGTAAAAATAAAAATGTTTAAATTGGGTAATAAATTAAAAAACAAATTAGTCAAAATATTATCTTTAATGTTGTTTAATTAACAGAGGTCGAGCTATCTCGACCTTAATTAAAAAGGGTAATGACAGCTTTATTACTTAAATTGGCGTAACAATAAACATAATTAATGAAAAGGGGGTAATTAGCCGACTTAGATTATTTAAGGTTTAAATTAGTGGGGTGAGATATATAATTGGGTGTTTATTGTTTCATGCCACTGTAATTATTTATAATTTAAAAATATGGGTCGGTGAAAAGAGTTTTCAATTAAAGTTGATTTAGTGGGAAAATATTAGTTTAATTGGTATAATATTAATATGGACTTTGAAATATGGATTATTCAACGTATAATGATGGATGTTTTTTTTAGTCTAAGTTGTAACAATGGGCTGCCAAATAGATATAAAGTTAATGCACCACTCTCCAACATTTTTGTAATAGGAATATATTACCAATATGTCTTAAAATATTTCTAAAATTGAAATACTCATTCATATAAATCAACAAAGATTATTTTAATATGTTTTGTTCTCGCTCATGCTTCATAGAAAAATTATTAAATGGTTATTCAATTTAGGATTACAAGAAGTCAAATACATTTAATTTTAGAGTTTTTAGGATTGAATCACAAAAAGGAAATGCGCAAATAATTGGTATCAATAATAACTATCAATTTTTATATGTATTTCTTAACTATCACATAATCATTATCGTTTGAATATGGTGTCTGCTTTGTTCATGTAACTTTTTTTTACTCAAGAATTAGACCATCACCATGGGGTGAAGGGAGGACCCACCCCTTGGAGTTATCCTACCCTGGAAGAAGTAGAAAAAGGGAATAAATATAATGATAATTTTATTTTTCATAGCCGTAGTAAATAAGAGAGAAAATAGAATTTTTTTTCTTCTGTCT